CAATGAAAATTGAACTACAAATGAAAATTGTCCATCAATCGTCCGTCAATGAAAAACTGCTTGAAATCATTTATTCCCGTCCCTCAGCAATTGTTGTAAATCATTTGATCCTTTGCTCAAGTGAAGATTACTTTGAAAATAGTATTTGGGCAGGGAATGGGGAAATTGGTTTAAATTGTACAAGAATGTCTTATTACTTCAGTGAACCACGTTTGCACATATTTTTATTCTGCATCTCAAAAAGAGTCTTATGTTTGCATTTGAAAATAGGATATGTTTGCAAATGCAACATTGTATGATGTTGAAGATCTCGGCAAGCAAAATTGTATTAGATAGTGGATGTCACAAACCTTTCAAATCAAAACACCTTGTTTATCTTCTCAAAAGAGCTGATTTGTATCCAGCGACACCCTGTTGGAAAGTACATATGAATGGATGTTCGGTGAGAATAGGATCAGGATTGGTTTTGATGTCAACACTATCCCCTCAGGAATAGCTTACTGACAATTCATTGCTCGAATCACACAGAAGCAATAGCCACTTGGAAGAGGCCCCTGGAACTGGTTTGATCTCATGGAATGAGACCTCACTATGAACTAGAAACTTCAGGAGAGGACAGAAGAAAATTGGACTTCCACATAAAAAGAAACATGTCCAGGAGAAGACGCTGGCGAAATCATCTTAACTTGGATCTCACTGTGCTTTGGTTGTGAATAGCTCTTTTGTTATTTATGCTTCATTTGTTAAGCACTCAGTGCTCTAAACTTTTAATATTTCAGTGCACCTTCTACAAGTCAAAAAAAGCAAATAAATTTTTATACCTCTGGCTACTAAAAGCGACTGTGCTTAAGAGCTTGCTCTAAGTATGGATTTTTTAAATAGATTTTTGTGCCACTAAACTTAAGAGTAAGCAAATTGTTTTCCCATACAACTCAATGGAATCTTCTGGAATTACCTAATGACATTTATTCTTCATGATAGAACACACTACATAATTTTGGGGTTACTGTTATGTAGGCATTACAAATTAAAAGAGATCATTTGAACCTCTTAATGGAGAAAAACTAAGAACTGCGGAGGAGCAAAGGAATTTGGGTGCCAACGTACACAAATCACTAAGAACTAGTTCGCAAGTACAAAAAATAGTCAAAAGGCTAATCTGGCCTTTATCTCAAGGGGGCTGAAATATAAAGGAGAGGAAATTATGCTTCAGCTGTGTAGAGCCTTGGTAAGATCCCATCTGGAAGACTGCATTCAGTTTTGGGTACTGCACCTCAGGAAAGATATATTGGCCCTGGAGGGGGTGCAGCGCATATTTACCAAAATACCAGAGTTTAAAGGATTAATTTACGAGGACAGGTTGCATAAATTTAGTTTGTATTCCCTGGAAATTAGGAGGTTATGGGGTGCTCTGATTGAGGTATTTAAAATGATAAAGGGATTCGATAGAATAGCTACAGAACAACTATTTCCTCTGCTGGGGAATCCAAAACCAGGGGCATAATCGTATAATCGGTTCCAGGCCATTTAGAAGTGAAATCAGGAAGATTTTTTTCTCACAAAGGGTGGGAGAAATTTGGAAGTCTCTCCCCTAAAAAGCTGTGAAAGCTGGATCTATTCAAATTTTCAAGACTAAAGTGAATATATTTTCATTAGGTAAAAGTATCAAGGGATATGGGGCAAAGGCAAGTATTTGGAGTTGAAGTACAATTCAGCCACAAATTAATAAAATGGTAGAACAGGCTCGAGGGACTGAATGGCCTACTCCTGTTCCATTGTTTATATGGAAGACTGGTAACATGAATTCTTATTAACACTTCTTCTACTGGAAAACTACTATCTTTACCCATATCTTTGTAAGTAATTCAAATTGCATGATGAAAGCAAGATTGTGCTTGTGTGCACACGACATCAACAACAAATTACACTTGTTTAGTGCCCTTCACGTCGGAAAAATGTCCAGGGCGCTGGACAATCAGGGGTTTTGGACCCGAGCCGGGAGTTGGGGTCAGAAGGGGAGAAGAGCAGGGGGGGGGTGGCGTTTCGAGGGTGGCCAAAGGCACGATTGAAGAGGAAGGTCTTCAGACAGGGCTTGAAGGAGGCAAGAGAGGGGGGGTGAGGCGGAGGGATTGTGGGATAGAGTTCCCGAGTGTGGGGGCAGAGATGTTGAATGCCTGACCACAAAGATTAAGGTGATTTCAAAGGTTTAAAGAAAAGAAAATTCAAATATTAGAATCATTAATTAGAATTAAATTCTTATGAATTTTCTGAGGGAAGTGATATCAGATTTTAGAGCCTATCCTCTACTGTCTAATCCACCGCCAACCAAAAGTGGTGGAAAATATTTATTTTAGTAGATAAATATTCCATGAAAAAGAGAGAAATGTTTGAAAGGAGTACAATATTGTTAGAAACAAGCCAAGGAAAGCTAGACCCCGAATACAACTTCTCAAGATCACAAGTGCTCCAATAACCAAAAGGAGCCAAGATTAGAGGAAGAGGCAATTGCCAAGATCCTCATTTTGGACATAATTGCGGCCTGGATAAGACACAGGGTTTTGGCAAAGGTTTATCCCCAACAAAACACCTGAAGGCATGACATAAAATAACAGCAGATTATTGTCCCTATTATGCTTTGTCTTGTTTGTTCAAACGATCATACGTTGGGAAACAGGAGATAGTCTAGACAGTGTTATTACAAAAGTGCTCACAGGGCCAATGAACGTGGTGGCATCCAACTTTTCCAAACCAGACTTTTGGTTTCTTATTCTCAGGCAATTGAACCTAACTTTTATACGTTTATGAAAATCTGAACCTTAACAGTGTTCTATTTTTTGTCTTCTAACATTAGGTGGCACTAAACTTAATACAGTACTGTGTTCTGAATCTTCCTTTCTAGGCATGTTAGCTTTGAAATCTTTAGTGATTTTTTCTTCTTAAATCCAGTCTTAAGAGAAAATTCTGCACATTCTGAAATGTATATATTTAGTTCGGGTGAAATTTCTCCCCACACCACTCCCCCTTTCCTGTAAATGTATACAGTAGTAAGGGAAGCAGAATATCAATCAACAGATTTCCTTTAAGCAATGTGTAAACAATGTATAAATCAAACCCAGGTTTGATTCCCGGCCGGGCAAAAACTTAAGGCAAGTTTCCTTACTCCACAAGCCTCTGTTTACCTAGCAGTAAGTAGGAACCTGGTTGTTAGTTGATAAGTGGATTGCTTTCGGGGGGTAATTCCTTTTTGAAAAGGAAAAGGGTCACTGAATCCACGGCTGTTTATGGGACACTGTTTTGCGCAATTAGCTGCCACGTTTTGCCCACAAAATACACAGTCAATCCACTTTATATTCTGGGAAGCGCTTTGAGATGTCTCAATGATGTGATAAGGCGCTATATTAATTATTATAAACAATTTGCTTTGAATGTGAAGCATGTCTAGTTGGCAACATCAGACAGAAATTAGGCTCCAACATTTTCAGTTAAGTTCTCTAATGCTGGGCAACAGAAACTTTTGGATCCTCTGGAAAGATGGTCTGATATGCACTATATCTCCTCAGCCTCTTTTTCTTGGTGACATAAGGAACGTCAGCTTGGACAGCACTTGCTTCTAACATCCTCTGTGTGGCTACTTTGAGGGAGCCTATAATTCAGGTGTTCAATGTCTTTCCTTGTTCATAACACAGTTGAACTAAGACCTGATTCTATTTCAAGAACTCAGTTAGAATAGCTGGATGATGAAAGGGATAAGTTATTTCAAAGCAGAAATACAACACTGTTCCTATAAGAAATACACCTAATACTTTTACTGAAGAATTCCCAACTGTCCTCTATAATTTATCGGTATTTAATGGCTTTGATGAATTAATCTGTTAATAAATATTTCAAAAAGATAATATATTTCCCCCAAATTACAGTTGCAATAAAAACCTCTCCAGCTGACTGCAACAGTAAAGATTTCTGACATCGAGAGATACTTAGAAGCGCAGTGTTTATTGGCTTTGCAACAAATGAATGAAAAACTATGTCACGATTCTTTCTTCGAACCATGAAATGTCATAATAATCAGGTTAGAGAAAATTTGGTTTATCAGAGTTTTAACACATTCACCCAATCGCTCGGAAAATGCTATAAATATTCTAAAGGCAGAGACGGTGTGACGATTACATGTGCAAAATCACTCTGAGCCAATATTGTACACAATACACTTGAAATATTATTGAAAATGATAGATAGGCCAATTGTCTCGCACAGCAGTGAGGGGTGGCAAGCAGTAGAGAGCAGCAGTGAACAACAAACAGGAGTTGACAGAGCAATAGATATGATTCCTCAGCACGTCAATCACAGGGCTCTTCAAAGCACACAAAACCCTTCATTTGCAGAAACATATGATCTTCAGGTCAATCATTTGCAAAATTGTGCTATCAAGAACCAATTGCAGATGAAGCTTTCATACTAGATAGTCTCTTTAAAAACATTCTGACGTGCATCTTGACTAGGTTCCATGATGTGAATCTGGAATACACTAAGTGCAGTATCCAATCCACGGTGATGTTAAAAGGGAATATCTACCTTCCTCACAAACACTTTTGCTTTACAAACACCTAATCTCTTCAGAGTCTTCACATGCTCCGCTCTATTACCCTGATACCACAGCTGGGATTTTCCATTTGGCTTTAGGATCTGATACATTTCAGCTTCCATAGCAATGTGAGTGTAAACAACAACAACAACTTACATTTGTATAGCCCTTTTCACATCAAGAGGATGTCCCAAAGCACTGGACAGTTATGGATTTGGACCCGAGTAGGGAGTTGGGATCTGGGGTTTGGGGGCAGGGAAGGTAGGGGTAGGAGGGTGACCGAAGACATGGTTGAAGAGGAGAGTCTTGAGACGGGCCTTGAAGGAGGCAAGGGAGGATGGGAGGCATTGGGACTGCAAAGATGGAATGAAATGAAAGGAAATTAAATTTGAAAGAATAATATTTTTTTCTCTTTCAGGGGTATCTGCTGCTTAATTCTATGACTCTGTTTCTGTTATTGCTTAATCGTTCGGGTCATTTCCGAAACTTAAGGTAATTTTACATTCTTATTTTTCTGCCGGTATTACAGGTACTTAACCAAACTCTGTTATCAAACTCTGTTTAAGTGCTCTGGGACTCTACCCTGCGTGAGGAACGCTATATAAATGTAAGTTGTTATCATTCAGCATAGGGAATGCAATAGGTTAAAACCCATGCATTTGATGTACTGCATCCCAATAGAGTTTAACATACAGACATCCATACAAACATCCATACACACACACACATACATACACACACACACATACATACATACATACATACAGAAATATACACACTGTAAAGGAGTGCATATTAGAATCTTATCACTCACTCAATAAAACATAGTTTTGTATTATACCGACATAATGCAAAACAATCTAATCTCCTACTATGGTTTCTTGGTAAGAAAAATAAAAAGGTGATTCCTTCCAGAAAGACATCAAGCTGATCTGTGGGTACTTTGCTCCAAAGTAAATTCTAAAGGGAATCTTTATTAAGGAATTCAGTAAAAAAAATGTAAATATGGGCATCGATTGAGGACAGGATTGAGTTTCAATGTGATAAACTCCAGGCAAAAACGGTTTTGATGTAGAATTTTGACCTTATCTGGCGCATCAATAAGATTTGTAAATGTAGGCATGACCTTATGTCTGAAAGTCATGGTAGGTGGCTGGGGGGGTGGAGTGATCCTTGATGATGAATTGATTATCTGAATGAGTAATAATAACAATCCTTGCATTTGATATAACGCCTTATCACGTCTTTGAGATATCTCATAGCGTTTCAATGAAGCGGTAGCCTTGAATTTCCCAAAGAAACGTCATTCACATTGTTCAGTTGGGGTTGTAGAACACAAAGCATCAATTTTGCAGCATGTAAAGTCTTTCAATTTCAAATACATTTCTGAAATGTTTTGACAATTGCACATCTTTTTTGATATACAGTACTTCGATTTGGCAAATGCACAACTAATTTGCCGTGAAATGATGTGCTTGGATCAGGATTATGCTTGCATTAGGACTTTTACAGAATAGGGAATGCAAAAGAGTGGGGACGGAAAATTAATCACTGGATTAGATCAGATATGGATTTATTTGACCTTTACTGCATTACATGTTTCATAGGAATATCCTCCAAAGAAATATTAAAATGGATTATACAGACTTTCAGATTTCTATTGTTTGGATAAAATATATTCAGGTCAGAGGAAGAGCTAGATTGTGTTTAAATAAGAATACAGATGTACGATTTCCATGTGCTAAACACAAACATGCACTAAACTCGGTTGTTTGTCTGAATCAGTTGGGAACACTCTCACCTCTGAATCAGAAGGGTGGTGGGTTCATGCCCCCGTGCCAGTCTACATAATCTAACATGACACTGCAATACAGTGCTAGGAGTGCATTGTCAGAGGTGCTATCCTTCAGACAAGACGATAAACTGAGGTCAAGTCTGCCTGTTCAAGGGCACAATTTGAAAGGAGAAAAGGAATTACTCCAGGTTTCTGAGACAACAATCCCCCAAAGAAAAAAATGGTCCTTCACTTCATGGCTGTTCGTGGGACATTGCTGTGTGCCAATTGGTTGCCGTTTTTGCCTCCAATTACACAGGATTTTACTCAGCCCCAGCCAGGAACAAGGCTGATGCTGTGATGGCAGCTTGGTAGGGTGAATATTCTGGAAGAAGGAGTTCAAATGGCCCAAAGGCCTTCTTCATTCAAACCTCTCACGATGTTGTAACTGAAGCTTAAAAGAATTCCACGCCTCCTCATTTAGCACTGAACAGGCGGAATCGACTTACAGCAGCAGTTTGAACAAAAGTGAAAAGCTGGGTAATCGCAGCAACAAACTGAGAAGTATAATGTATTTAAAATGAAATGCTTCACTTCAGTCCACTGAGGGCCAGCGGACTTCTTAATTGAGCTGTTTATGTAAATCAAGCTACTATCAAATGCTACTTATTTCATGCAATGTCTTATACTATTTCTAACGTAGTTGCTGATACAATGGAGATGGAATGATACCTGATGGCATCCTATTTATTGCCAAGAGGTAACCAATATTGTACCCGTGAGTACCAAGTCCCAAATAAATAATATGTCAGACATAAGTGTCTCCACATAAAATTATATTCATTGATAATTGTACTGCAGCTCACCAGGAAACTCAGTGGTATAAATGCATAAATCAACTTGTCCCATCAAGAAAAAATAAAGAGTTTTGAGTTGTTAATTTCTTGAGGAATACCCACCAAATCTCAGATATCCCCCCTCCCCCACAAGCAATGCATCTTAGGCAATTGTTTAATATATTCTTGCTTGTATAGGTGTGATTCTAACAACCGTTGTGGCCTGTGTGCAGGTGATGCTAGATTTTGAGCCAGAAGAACATCAAGTTAAGAAGTCCACTGGCCCTCAGTGAATTGAAGCAAAGCGTTTCATTAAATACCGTTAAGATTTGTGGCTTGTTGCTGTGATTCACCCAGCTTTCCACTTGCGTTCAAAGTGCTGCTGAAGCTACGCTGAAAATAATTCTGCACTTAGCAGGCCACTGATCTAGAGTGCATGTGTCGAGTAATGAGTGACTAATTGAATCTTCACATGCCAAAGGCAATTCTTCAGCGCTGACTATGGCTCAGCGGGACAAGGGTTGCTAATGGATGAGAAAGAAAAGAGCTGACAAACCAATGTGGCCCGCAGGCTGACGGCTCAACAACACTCGGAGTATCAGCAAAAATATTGACGGCAAAATATTGCCTTGCAAGCCAACATGTCGAGAAGCTTGGCTTCTCTTAATTGTATCACGTTGCACTTCTTTAGAATAACAGTATGGTTAATATCTTTTTTAAATTTAATTCAGAATTAGATATCTTGATGATCATTGGAAATGCGCTCAGATCCACGCAGCACTAAATGTATTATAAGAGAAAGAACACTATAGGAGTATTTATTTATAAACAACATTTACAGCATTTGTTCCTGTATATAACCTAGCCAATCTCAGCCTGTCCGTTATTTTTGAGACACACACACACATGCTTCCTCAGTAAGTAGGTTATTAGTCAATTGGCGGATCGCTTTCTGTGGGTAGTAATCCCTTCCCCCCAAAAAAATGTTCACTCAATCCACTGTGGGACACTGCTGTGCACAATTGACTACCATGTTTGCTCACAAAATACACAGTCAGTTCACTTTGCAGTATATTTTGTGAAGTGCTTTGAGATGTCTCAATGAAGTGATAAGGTGCTATATCAAATGCAAGGATTATTATTACATATATTTTGAGGTGGGCAATACTAAGATCATAACCAATTTCAAACCCTTTCAAATAGGGAGAAATAGCAGGAGAAAACACACTTAATAATAATAATCCTTGCATTTGATATAGCGCTTTTCACGTCGGGAGGACGTCCCAAAGCGCTTCACAGAACACACTGTAAAGTGAATTGACTGTATATTTGTGGGCGAACGCGGCAGCCAATTGCGCACAGCAATATCCCACAAATAGTCGTAGATTGAAAATGACCAATTTAGTATTGTTTTTGGTTTTTGGAGGGATTATTATTAGGCGTGTGGATTAAGGAAACCTTCCCAAGGTTTCGCCCTGCCTGGAATTGAACTCAGGTCTCTCGCTTGCAAAGCGAGTGCTCTAACCACTGAGCTACAGGACTCCACTGCACTTGGCCTAATGCAGAGAAATATTGTTACTCTTTCATGAGTATTTCATAAACTGATCAGAAAATATACCACAGAAACATTTGTAGACTTTTAAAGATTAAAGAAAGAGCAAAAGAGAAAATTTAAAATATAACATTATTAGTACGACAAAGGGGGTTGTTACCATTTTAGTTTCCAAAGTGCCCCATTTTCCCCAGAATTACTGTATCCCATATGTAAATGTTGTAATGTATGGCTGATCTAATTGAACTGACTTAAATCTGGTCGCCTATGGATTCTACAGTATTTTTTGCACATTCATTAGTCCAGCACATTGTAAGTGTCCAAGGTGGGTATGTTCAACAACAACAACAACAACAAGATTCCATTTATAGAGCGCCTTTCACATCGGGAGGACGTCCCAAGGCGCTGTACAGTTGGGTCAGGACCCGAGCGGGGGGAAATGGTCAGGGTGAGGGGAGGGAAGGGAGGGAGCGAGGAGGGGGAAGAGAGTCGAGAGGGGAGCTGAAGGCACGGTCAAAGAGAAAGGTTTTGAGACCGGCCTTGAAGGAGGAAAGGGAGGAAGCAAGGCGAAGGCACTGGGGGATGGAGTTCCAGAGCCTGGGGGCTGAGAGGCTGAAGGCCCGACCACCGATGGTAGGGCGGTTGGGGCGGGGGACGTGGAGCAGACCAGAGCCAGAGGAACGGAGGGTACGGGCAGGTAGGTAGGGGGATAGTAGGTTGGAGAGGTAGGAGGGAGCAAGGCCGTGGATGGCCTTGTAGGTGAGGATGAGGATCTTGAAATCAATCCTCTGGGGGATGGGGAGCCAGTGGAGGCGAGCGAGGGTGGGAGTGATGTGGTCCCGAAGCCTGGTGCGGGACAGTACACGAGCTGCAGAGTTCTGAATGACCTGCAGCTTGTGGAAGGAGGTGCCGGGAAGGCCGGCGAGGATCTCCATCTGGAAGATGGAGATATTCAAATTCAAGGCGAATGCCACTGTTCTACTCTTCCCCTCATCTGTGAGTTGATCATAACATCTACATAGGGCAGTGGTGCCCCACCATTTTTCATTTAACAGTTTGTCAATTTATCTCCATAGTTACAAGTCCCTCTATTTAAAAATGTTTCTTAGATTTCATGCAGCAATTTATCACATTGTTGAGACATCTCAAAGCACCTCCCAAGATTTTAAAATGACAACTTGCCTTAAAATAGTGCTCTTCATGCAGGATAGTGACTTGGAGTGTCGCCAAGCATTGAGTGCATTTTACGCATGTAGTGACTGTATTTTGAGGACAAACACGGCAGTAAATTTGCACAGAGGATGTCACATAAATGGCCATAAAGTGAATG